TTTGTCAACAGATTTATGATCCATGATAATTATTTTCTTACAAAACACTCAATATTAATCCAATTCAACTTTTTTTTTGTTTACTCTTATTGACACAATTAAATAATAAAAAATAATCATTACTTGTTACAAAATTTATAATAAAATCCATTATTCATCTGCTCGCATTTTTTAACTATTAATTATATGTTATTATTTTATTATTATTTTTTTTATCACATCAACTTGAATAAACTTTAATAATTAGATTTTATCTTATATCTATTGAAAAAATAAAAAATAGTAAATTCTTCACCCAAACAAAAATTTAGAACTCCTTGACTATTTTTTTTCATTCAAAACATTTTTTATTCAAAATAATTTACATAATCCCACTTTATAATTGAAGTTAAAAAGGAAAACTTGCGAATCATATTATATATCCACATGACCCACATGTGCGCATATATATATATATATATTTAATTTTAGTAATAGTAACTACAATATAATTGTATAATATATGCTTTTTAGTTTTGACGTCACCATTTGATGGTGAGTGTGAGAGGTGAAACTCCACAAGTGTCGCATTCAGACCTAAATTACTTATGTGAGCAAAAGCTAAAAATACCTAACTCTCCAACAAATTTATAATATTTTACCAAGCCTATGTTTATTGGTATTGTATTCATTGACCAAATATGTACATATATGCATGTGACTTTTTCCCAAAATTTGTTTCCAAAACGGGGTAGAAAAGAAAATTAATACGGAAAGCATTGAATTAATAAAGAATAATATAATTTGATTTACTAACTGATTAAACATGGTGGTCACTGACAGTCCAATCATTCAACAATTTTTAGTTATATGTGGTTTTCTGTTCTTGAAAGAAGCAGTGTTCATATATGACACACAATATGTTTGTAAATCTAGTTGTACGGCTAAATGATAGATGATAAGTTTGTTGATAGTTTATAAGTAATTTTGAAGCTTAAAGATAGCCTATGAATTAAAAGTACTTGGTAAATTATCTGATATATATGTCAAGTTAAAATAAAAATTTCAATAGGCTTTTTTAAAAAATTACATAGAGAAAATTATAAGAAAAGTTAGAAACTTTGAAAAGAGGTCGTCTAATTAAACACAATTTATTTGAAGTTTAGATATTAGTTTATGTTATTTACTTATAAACACCACTAAAAAAATTGCATATTCCAATGAAAATTCTACATTAATATATTTCAATAAGAATTTCAACCGATATTCTGATGGTATTACTTTTGTTGGAATGATTCAAACGAAAATTCCTACAAATATATTATGTTAGAATGAATTTTCCATTAGAATTTTAGATGGAATTTAATGATTCCAACGACTATTTTTTCAACGATTTTTACCCTAAAAATTTCGATGGAATATACATTTTTCGTTGAAATTTTATTTCCATTCATATTTCGACCGTTGATGCAACGAAAATTCGAATGAAAAAGTCATTTAAACGGAATATTTTTGTTGGACTTTCTGTTGAATCTATTGAAAAATTCCAACAGAAATAATAGCATTGACACTGGCGGATCTACACATATGCAAGCCTAGGCAATTGCCTCGGCTGGATTTTTTGTGCTAACTATACAAGTTTTATAGTTAACATGTGTTAAATAAAAATTCATATTTAATATTTGTAAAAATATAAATACAAGTTTTTATCTTAAAATTTTAAATAATCCTTACAAAATAATATTATTTTTTTATTTAAAATAATACACCTCACCTGTCAGATTCGACAGTCTTATATTACATTATTTTTAGTACTTATACCATATAGTAGGCTTGACAGGTAAATTTATTGTCTTTTCAATTATAATTGATAAATATTTAATTTTTTTTAATAGAGATCAAATAGATATGATTATTTTAATTTACATATACTGTATGAATGTCAATTATAGATCGTCAAAATATGACTAGTTTAATTTATCCTACATAAAAAATGATAACAAATTTATTAACTTTTAAAATATATTTGTAATTTAATTTAGTCAAATGTTCAAATTTAAAAGTTCTGGATAAAGGTCTATATTTATATGTACTATTTTGAATCCTCAGAAATTAACATATAAAATTACAAAGTGTTAGTTGACAATGAAAAACTCTATTAATAAGATAATTCATAAGGAACTCTTTATAAAATGTCAGAAACAAAAATGATGACATTTAGTCTTTTCTTAAATTTATAAATTATATTCTAAAACGACTTGTTTATAACTTATTACAAAAAATGAAGGAAAAGTGAATATAAATTTTTTTTGATATATTTCTTAGTAATAATAAAAATGTGAAATTAAATCACCAGACTTTATTCTCTATTTCATTTTTTATCATTACGTCAAAGTATTTGAATAGGGAACACCTCAAGACCCGATTACTTCAACGAATTATTTAATTGTTAATATAAGTATTTTGTGTAGTATGGCTAAAAAAAATTTAATAATTTTTTTTTCTTGGCTCATAAAAATTTCTGGATCTGCCGCTAAGCATTGGAATATCAATTGGAATTGTCGTTAAAATTTCAGTGAAATATATTTTCGTTGGAATTTTTTATTGAAATTTCATCATTTTCTTATAGTACACCCTCTCAATATAGGCATGAAATGCTACACTTTAAAAAATAATGTTAATTTAACAATTTACAATATAAATACGCATTGATACATTATATATATTTTTTAAATAAAAGTGTGCATATGAAATTGCAAGTAGACTCCAAAACAGATTATTTTAGTTCATATATTAAAACAGGTATCTTCCACAATGAAAAAGGAATAATAGTAATGGATTATATTGCTAAAAGAAGACATTGAATGATTGATATAATCAAAATAGTGCGAACACACTCACAAATTAAAGTGAAAAGGTCGGCCTAATATGCCTTTTTGTATGTAATAAATTGAGCTTAAATCTTTACCAAACTACATTGTTGGCCTAGCAAAACTAAATAAACAGATAAAATAAGGAAAATATGTGAGTAAATCTTTTCGAATTTTTATTTTTACACACGTTGAAGATAATAGTCAAATAGTGTACAGATAATTAAAACTACAGTCTACAGAAAACGACACAACGTACATGAAAGTTGACAATAGGAATTAGTTAGCCAATTAATTACAGCAGACCACAGTGGAACATTGATTGATTGTACATTGTGAAATATGTGGCTAGAAATACACAACATAAAAGATTTTAACTCCAATGACTCATTTAAATTAAGGATTTAATGGGACACATATGAATAATGATTGATTAGATGAATGATAAAAAAAAATAAAAAAATAAAAATCAGAGAGATAATGTAAGCATAATGAGTAGAAATTGTTTAGAGTCATATCTAGAAATTACTCCATTCCATATTTTCCTCTAAGATGTTTGGGAGATTGTGATATACATTGTTTTAAAAGAAATATACTTAAATTAATGACATAAATAATTTTGATAGTGTGAGTGAAAACGAACAGAAAAAAGTAATTTATCATTATATAAAAAGAATAACCATTTTACAAATTTAAAAATTTTTTTCCGCCAAAATCATTAAATATATCTTATATATAGTAATTGTAGGACAAATCTGAATAGACAAAAAAATCCGCTCATTAATTGTGTAAAGATTTGTTTCTCTTTTTCCTGTTTCTTAGTTTATCGTTTTAACAACAAATATTTATTTTTCTTTTTCCTATTTTTAGTATAAATCTACACGAGCTTATCTCTTCTGTTACAAAATCTCATTGCATACGATCTTAGGTGTTTAAAAAATCTCATCTCTTATCTATACAGATTTGAAAAATAAAATAAAATAGAAATCAATTCATAATTACTACTAGAATATCATTATCTTTAAAAAAAATAATAAAATAGAAACCAATTCATAATTACTACTAGAAATCCATTATCTACTTTAAGAAGCTAATTTTCATCGGTCTAATTACTAATATTTTTACAAATATTCTAAGCTAACCATACAAAAAAGTATAATGATAATTTTGAAATGGTGTGTAATCAAATTTTTTTATATTCTCTTATACAAAATCATTTTACATTGTTTGACCCCGAATCTTTAATTTATCACCTAAACTACAAGTAATCAAATAGTATTGTTTATCCTCCTCTTTTATTTATAATTATTTTTTTTCTTCCTCTTTTTAAATACGATCAATAGTAGTTTTCACTTCCGCCATTGACTCAAACTCGAGGTCTATTTATAATATTGTTAATTTAATATTGTTCCCGTGCATCGCACGAGCTACACACTAGTGTTATAGTAATATGGTATGAAAAGGGTAAAATTAGGTCGTATATGGTGTAAGGGTTATAATGGGTAGATACATAGAAAAAATTATAGATTAATGTATTAATAAGCAGTAATAAGAACGTTTTATATATAGTGATTGGATTATTATGATATTTGTTTTGTTTTCGTAGCGCTGGGGATTGAAGAAAAATATTTAAATTAATTAGAGGTTAATATTGAACTACATGTACGAAGCAGTATATTACTTATTTATGGTTGAGTGATATTTGAATCTTTGATATCACCTAAACTACAAGTAATCAAATAGTATCCTTCTGTGAAAAAAAAAATTCAAATTTTGTACTTTTTAATTCAAATTATTTATCAATTTTTGTACTTTTCTCCAAAGTAATTTGAACATAATTGCAGAAAAGAAAATTCTATAAAAGCATTCTACAAGTTTCTAAAAACAATCATATTAATTCCAAAGAGTTCATCCATGATAAAAAATTTAATTAGTTTTTTTTTTATTGGGAATTAATTTTATAAATATTAAAAAAACCGTTGCAAAGGATATATAATAGTATATCTATAAAAGCAATCTAAATAGCATCTTTTATTAATAGGTGCGTAGCTTGTGGAAGGCTTTCACCCCTTGGAATATATTAATTTACCTACTAAATACCTAAAAAACATAGTGATAGAAGATTGAATTATATACAAAA